TTGAACTCATAGGGGCGCCTTTAGAATCCTATTTACCTGGTGGATTATTTGGATATAAATATGCTGACGAGGATGTAGTTACTTAAGTGGGGAAAATAGGAACTAAGTTCCGTATAAGACAAAATGCTATGCATCGGAGCCTCCTCTTGAACCCTATATGTGATAAAATACTATATGGCGGAAGTCACCACTTGAACTCGTAGGGGAGCCTCTAGAATCCTATTTACCTTGTGGATTATTTTGATATAAGTATGCTGACGATGATGCTAGTTACTTAAGTGGAAAAAATTGTGAAACCCTTTAAGTAAAAAAAACTAAACTCTTAAACATCGAGGCGCCTATTAGTAAAATAGTTAGAATTTCATTAAGAAACTCCACAGTTAAGCGTGCTCATCCTGGAGAAATCTTTGGATGAGTAATATCTCAGGAAGTTACACCAACAAGATAAAATCATAAGGCCCTTGGGCCAAAGCGGACAATATCTCGATAGTTAAAAATTTGGGCTGTTATAGGTAAAGAATGATGACTCTTAAATGTTTATTGAAAGTCACATGTGAAGTGACTTAAAATAATGAATAATGATGATAAGATAAAGAACGATGACTAATTGATCTATATATGGGGTTAAATTAAAGATTGATGTTTAACTGGGCGATAATTATGATGGAAGGATGAAAACACAATTTTAAATATGGATGTACTGCCTTGTTATTCATAATTATATCCATTTTGCATATACATGATAACATATATAGGCCTGATAAAAGCATTGATGTTGACATAATATGATGTAGCATATGATGGGTATATTGTTAGATGTTGATAGTTATGCAGGTATAATTCATTGATAAATATATTATATAGCATATTGATAGATAGTTATACATGTCATATTGATTAATAGAGACATAAAATATAATTATCAGCATCAATATAACTGATAGATAATTAATAATTGTTTCACTACAACACCTATTATAGATTAATAGAGTTTTTATCAATTTTCTTATAGATTGATAGACGTTTTTTAAAATAAGATATTCTTATTTTACTGACCATATTGGATTTTGCTATTAATTGATATTAATTTCATAAATTATTTATCAGTCATACATATAACTTATTAATTGATATTAATTGGAATTGGGGCATACATTTTGAGTATTTTACTTTGCATTAAATACAGTGATAAGGTTTTGATAATCTGCTAAGTTTTGTATGCTCATTTTGTGATTTTTATTGGTTTTAGGTCTTGGGAAGGGTAAGGACCCTTTTGAGTGAGGCTGATTAATATTTTCAATTTTTTTTTATTATTTTGTTTTATTCATTTGTAGTTATGAGCTTTAAAAAGGATATATTGATATTATTAAATCTCCTAACTATTGTAAATCCTATTTTAAGGAAATGAATATAAAAATATTTTGATGCATATGATTTATAGTTGCATTTACTGGATTTATTTGGAATGAAAAATATTTAGTTACTCTGACAAATTAATTAAGAGATAAAAATTGATAATTCTTCTAAATTTAAATTTTGTGATGTTACAATTGTTATCAGAGTAATGGTTATTACAATAATTGAATGATAGTCATAGCCATATGATTGATTATGAGTGGGGTAGAAATTGGGTATTATAAATTTTATTATTTGCATATTTAATTAATTTATCTGCATTTATATGTATGTTGAGTAGGGGTGTTAAATTATAATTGATATTTGTTTCATTGCAGCACCTGTTGTAGATATATTTACTTTTTATTGATTTTTTTTAAGATTGATAGACTTTTTTTTAATAAAATATTTTTGTTTTTCTGATCATATTGTATTTTGCTATTGATTGATATTAATTGTATAAATCATTTATCATTCATGTTGATAGCTTATTGATTGGTATTAATTGGAATTGGAGCATACATATTGATTCTTTTACCTTGCTTTGAATACAGTGATAGAGTTTTGATAACCTGCTCGGTTTTGTAAGCTCATTATGTGGTTTTTATTGATTTTAAGTCTGGGAAGGGGTAATGACCATTTGGAGTAAGGTTGATCAATATTTTCATATTTTCTTTTATTTTTGTGTTTTGTTCTATTTTTTTGCAGTTAGGAGCTTTAAAAAAGATATATTGATATTATTGAATTTTCTGGCTACTGTAAATTGTATTTTAAAAGGAATGAATATACACATATTTTGATGTATATGATTTATAGTTGCATTTGCTGGATTTATTTGAAATGACAAATATTTAGTGACTCTGATAAATTAATTAAGAGATAAAAATTAATAATTCTTCCAAATTTAACTATTAAAATTTTACAATTGGTATCAGGTAATGGTTATTGAAAGAATTGAACTATAGCTAGAGTCATATGATTAATTATGAGACCAAGATTTATAAAAAAAAAATATGATTGATTATGAGTGGTGTAGAAGTTTGGTAGTATAGATTTTATTATTTACATATTTGATTAATTTATCTACATTTATATGTATGCTGGGTAGTGATGTCAAAATAAGTTCTTGGGTTGGGTTCGGGTCGATCTTGAAATCGACCTGCTTTCAACTAGTGAAGGAAAAATGTAATTTGAGAAGAAAAGGAATGAGAGAAAAGCTAGGATTTTAAGGTCTTAGAACTATTTTTATCAGTCAGTCCAGCTGAAAAATTTATTCATCTTAGGAGGTTACCATTATCCTACCTATGATTTCAATGATTTTGTATATTTTGTGTTCTATGTATTTTAATTTGGTTAAAACTTGCAAAAATTGCGAGATCTCAATTTTTAACAAACTTTCACCGCGTAACTTTTATTATATTATAGTTTTAATCATTCTACACATATTTATATGAATATATTAAATTTTCATTGGATTAATTGATAGTTTTTTTTCAAGTTAACAACCATGTTTTAAACTTATTAAATTTTCATTGGATTAATTTTGCCTTACATTGAATGCTTTGATAAAGTTTTGGTACCTATGATTTCAATAGTTTTGGTACCATTTTTATTGATTTTAAGTCTAGGAAAGAGTAAGGACCCTCTAGAGTGAGGCTGATCAATATTTTCATATTTTCCTTTTTTTTATATTTTATTCTATTTTTTGTAGTCAGGATCCTTAAAAATGATAGATTGATTTTATTAAAATCTTATGGCTATTGCAAATTACATTTTGAATGAATGAATATGAAAATATTTTGATATATATGATTTATAGTTGCTTTTGCATTATTTATTTAAAATGATAGATATTTAGTGACTATGACAAATTAATTAAGAGATAAAAATTGATAATTCTTTTAAATTTAGATCATGGGGGGTTACGCATATGAATGTGTCGATATTCGGAGCAAAGGTTAAGTTTAGAAAAGAATTGGTCTTCATGCAATTCATCAAACAATTCATTCATAGTCAATATGAGAAATTTATCTTTAATAGTTAGGGTATTGAGGGCACAATAATCAACACGAAAATGCCAAATGTCATATCTTTTCTTGGCAAGAAGGACAGGGATAGAGAAAGGACTATTACTTGGCGAATAATATCAGTCGGTAACATTTTGGAAACTAATTGCTCCATCGAATCATTTTGAAAGTACAGTTGACAATAAGGATGAATGTTAACCAGCTTGGATAAAGAAGGGAGATGAATACAATTGTTGATGATACGTGGTGGTGGTGGTAACCCTTGTGTTGGTTTGAATAAGTGTTAAAATTTATACAATAATGTGGAAGTGAGGGTAGGAAGGGGTCGAGGAGAGTTTCTAGATATTTGTACAAAGAGTCAGGTGGTGCACTATCAGTGTTTAGGTGATGGGGATGAATAATGAATTGCTAAATGGTTGGAGAATGAGAAATGAGTGCACATTATTTTGGTTGAAAGAAATGGTATTGAAGGATAATTACGATTCGCTAGAAAGTATAATTGGTTTTTTTTATAATTAAATTGCATCATCAAATCGCGATAATTATTTAAAATTGATCCTAAGGATTGTAGGCAATGCATGCCAAGAACGATATCAGTCCCGTGAATGGATAAAACAAAGAGATCTAGAATGATGATACTTGTGAATATTTCGAGAGGATGAAGAGATAATTTGGTGATGAGGTATTCTTGAATGAAATTATGGGTACTACTACTATCAATTGTTATGTGCACATTTTGATTATTAATAGACCTGACTTATCAGAAAGAACGAGGATTGAATGACCGACTAAAGAATTAAGACTGATTTTGGGTTGAGAATTTGTATTTTTCTTATTGATAAAAGAGAGGAAATGCAAATGAATTTCAGCTGATGAAAGCTTTTGGATTGGAAGATTTGGAGGCTTAGATATAGTTGGGGTAGAAGAGGAGGAGAGCTGCGAGAAATGGTGGGTGGGGGGGGTTTGATGTATTGGTTGAATTATGATGAACCGGTCAATTTGATTGGGAGGGAATCAAGAAGTTTCCTAATCAAGAGGGAGCTGTTTAGGAAGGTTCTTAATCAAAGGGGAATTGTTTAGAAATATTTTAATTACAATGAGAGGGAATTATTTATTGCAATATATCTAATTTGAATTCAAAATATAAGAGGGGGTTGTTTAGAAAAGTTTTAATTACAATTGAGAGTGAATTAATTAGAGAAATAAATCTAATTTAAATTCAAATATAAGAGAAAATTATTTACGGAAAGGGGACTTATTTGGTAGGGAATTATGGGAGCCTATTTAAGGTTAGCAATAGGGTGGTTTTAGGATTATGGTTTGGAGTTTATTAAATTTAGTTTATTCTTAGGCTATTTGAGCTCTAGCCGGCGGCTAGGAATTTGAGAGAGCCGGATAGCCGTCGAATCTTCATCTCCAATTGAAGATCCAATTGTATCTTGCATTTCTCTTTATAGTTCTTTCAATAAAAATTATTTTGCGAAATTCTTCCCAATTTTTCGTGTTTCACCTACTATTTTTTGTGAAAAGTGCATCCACTTCCTATCAAACTAGTATTATAATACTTTTTTTGGACCTATGGTGGCATGGAAAGTTTATGCCTTGGAAGAGCATCTTAAAGGAAATATTGGCCAACTCAAATCAGCATTTGATGACAGAATGTCATCAATGGAGGAAAAATTTTCTGACCCAGAAGGAATCTTAAAGAAGCTATTGGATCTTCACGTAAAAGGACATTATCAGCATCAATGACATTCGGTTCCTGTCTAGCAGAACAATCAACAAAGCATGAACAAATTTGTTAGAGTAGTTGAATATGATGCCAAGTTTTGTTTAATAAATCCTACTTATACCGAGCAAGATTCCAAAACTTATGTAGTTTATCAATCTTAATTGAGCAAGAATTCAATGACCTCACCTATGGATAATATGGTTCCGTTCCTTCTCAACATTATCGGTTACATTGACAGATGATATGAAGGTGGTTTTGGAGCCACTTACAAAGAGGGGATATGGTGAAGTTTTTCGAGGAGCTACGGAGCTTGGAAGGCAAAGAAGATGGTGAGAAGATATAAGCACCATATATGGTTCAACTACTCCTACAACAATATCTAGAGGTGTTTCAACTAGTTCAGGTGTTGTCTCTTCCGCGGGAATATGAGCATGCTATCATCTTGAAGGAAGTAGTCTCACCTATTAGTGTTCATCTGTACCGTTGTTCCCAAATCCATGAGGATGAAATCGAGATATTGATCAGGGAGATTCGACCCGGTGTTAGTCCATTTTTTAGTCCAACAAATTTGTCAAGTCCTTCAGCAGCAGTTTACTTCATTCCACCTTGAGGACAATGTGTCACTTTGGGAGGGGTGTATTGATGGACTAGCTGATTTGATTGGGAGGGAATTAGGAAGTTTCCTAATCAAGAGGGAGTTGTTTAGGAAGGTTCTTAATCAAAGAGGAATTGTTTAGAAATATTTTATTTATATTTGACCTTTCTTTATTAGGTTTAAATGAGAATTTGACTTTTAATAGAACATAATGGAGAAAAAGGATTAATGTAGCCGACCCCACGTAGTGGGATAAAGGCTTGATGTTGTTGTTGTTGTTGTTGTATATTTGAGAGGGAATTATTTAGGGTAAGAGATTTAATTTAAATTTAAAATCTAAGAGGAAATTATTTAGCGAAAAGGATGATGAATTAAGGGGAGTTGTTTAGGAAAGTTCAATTATAACTGGGATAGCCGTCGAATCTTCCTCTCCAATCGAAAATTCAATTGTATCTTGCATTTCTCTTTATAGTTCTTTCAATAAAAATTATTTTGGGATGTTTTTCCCAATTTTTCATGTTTCATCCGTTGTTTTTTGTGAAAGTGCATCTACTTCCTATCAAATTGATGTTAGAATGTAAAGAGTTAGTAATAGAGTTTCTCAAAGGAAGAAAGTATGATTTTCGGTAAAAGGAGGAAGGAATAGAAAAAAAATCTTGAGTTAATTTAGAAAGATTCCCATGTAAATCTTCGTACATGGAGATATCAAATCATTGTTGTAAGGAACCAATAAAGTAAGACCAAAAGAATACTGAGCCCTTCATACGCAGCCATTGGTACCAAGTAATTGCTGGACCTACTAAAGAAAAGATGTGATGCGAACACGATGGCATTCAAGAATATTGTGAAAGTCAAAGTATTTGGGTGCCTTAAAGATCCAAGCTTCCACATTTGTCCCATTAAAACAAGGTAAGTTCAATATTCTTGGTTTTAAGGAAAGAAATTTTTGTAGGAGGTGGAGATGGATGATGAGAATGGATTTGGTTGTCGATCCCAGAATGCCAGGTGAAGATCTAGAATCTTGATGGGGTGAGGACTGAGAGCGATCAGTATAGGGTGTCAAGGCTTTTGTCAACAGAGTTCATCAATGTTTGAAATGATTGGATATGTACAAATGGAAGCAAACTGAAGATCAGCTTGTTTGAGAGATCTTTGGATTTCGACAAATTACAAGTTTTGATTATTTTGCATTGAGCATGAAACTATCGTAAAATTTTATTACACACTTGTATCTCAATTATGTTAGAAGTCTTACTTAAAAGAACAAAACTATAGTAAAGTTTTACTACACACTTGTAGCTCACTTAATTATGTTAGAAGTCTTGATTTCTTTTGGAGATCTACTTTTTTTTCTTTGGTAGACTTTGACGTTTTAGGTTGGTCATTCATGTTGGTAGCCCATGCTTCACAATTTGCTTGTATCATTTTCGGATCTAATGAAATGTGCTGATGTTTAATGCCCTCTTAGGAGAGTAGATGTATTAGATCCAGCTTATGTTAAGAAAGGTAGAGGTAAACCTAAAAAGACTTGATTAGAAAGTATTAACATGACTTTTTTATTAGATTTAAATGCGGATTTGTCTCTTAAGGAGCATGCTTTTTTATTTTTTGGTCCAGAGCACATATTTCGTTCCTTAATGGCAAGTGAAAAAAAATGCTGAGGGCTAAATTTAGTTAAGTACTAAAAGAATATAGATTTTCTATCGGGTTTTCTCATGCTTTCTTCCTTTCACTGCTAGGATTATTCTTCCTTTCCTTTGCTGCGTGTTATATTTATGGTGGCAGCCCTAGCTGCATCGAACATCAAAAGAACTTCAAATGTGACTTATTCAATCCAGTGTCCAGTTGTTGTAAGAATTACTGGTATTTATTATTCTTGGCTTAACGTCGTAAGTTTAGAAATTTACTAAATACATAGGTACAGAATTGTGTTAGTTGTTTCATGTTGTATTATGATGAAATTATTATTTTAAGATTGACAAGAATATGGAGCAAATACGTATCGAAGGTGATTACTAAAATTCATAATTCAGTAATTAATTTTTTGCTTAATAAAAAGTCATATTGATTTTAATTTTTTGTCATTATTTCACTTGCTCCTGTTGTCCAAGACTTAGTAGAACAAATAACGATATCTCATAGCTAGTACTAAGCTAGTACAAAGTGATGATTTTCAATCAGTTATAATTGCCTTGTAAGAGTTGAGCCTTTCTGACCAACACTTTTAATGATGTTCTTCTCACTGTTGATGCAAACTTCCTCATCACCGTTTATGCAAAACAATGTGGAATGAAATTTTGATTATTATGAATTTTTATCAGAGTAGTCATTCAGAGATTTTTCCCACTGTTTGGCTGACCCGAGTATTATAGCAAAAGCCTTCTTGCATTTCTTTTCCTTGGTTAAGAATAATCTATAATTTGCATTGAGATTATCATTTCAAATTTGAAGGATGTATTGTACGTTGACAGTGGTGATCCGTGGAATCCCAGGCTTGAGACGGTAAGCAAAGTGATGAAAGTGCTACAAGGTGTGCACAAGGTTCTGAAACCAGATGGAGTTTTCATCTCCATTTCTTTTGGGCAGGTAAAATAAGTCGGTTAAATATATAGACCTATTTTTCGTTTGGTTTTCTCTTAAATTAACCGTTCAGCCATACAGCCACACTTCAGGCGTGAACTATTTGAAGCTCCATGTTTTACATGGTCTGTAGAATGGAAAACATTTGGGGAAGAATTTCATTATTTCTTCTACACTCTGAAGAAGGTGAGAAACAGGGTTACAAATCCAAAGCATTACCGGCATGTTTTTACGTTTTATTTTCTATGGGATTGATATGCATCAGTGTTTTACCAATAATTAATGGCATATCTTGCATTGCTGTTCTTGCCTCTATTTTTTTATGTTAAAGTGTTACTCGCAGAGAAGTTCAGATAATATATTGTATTCCATTTTTAGCTGTGCGGAGTTTATTAGAGGAACGAAATCATTTCAAATTAAATGCAACCGAACCTTGAAAGAAAAAAAAAAAAAGTGGTTTCTCGCTGTTTAAGGCTTTGTTTGGGGCGGCTTTATTAGTAGTAGCTTTCTAGTAAAAAATATTTTGTTTTTGTATGAAAAAAATGCTTTAAGAAGTAGTAAAAAAGTCGTCCCAAATGAAGCTAAAGTTTAATACATTTTTTTATAGGGTTCAATCCTATAGACAGCAACTCTTGTTTAGAAGCCAATTGAATAAAATTATGATAAATCAGAGGTGGAGTTATTTTTGTTTTAATAATTCGAAGCTCTATCATTCTTTATTTTCAGGGAATGCGGACCTCTGATAGCAAACAATTCAGCATTGATAAGTGCGATGTACCAGCAATGAGTCTGTTCCACGATGAGCTAGAGGATGAGGATTTCATATTTCGAACTGATATAGAGGAGCTGGCCGGGTGAAAATTTAAGCTCTTGAAAATTTTCCTATATTCAAGACGAGAGTTCTCGTCTAGGGATAAAAATGCTTATTCCCCTCAAGAAAGAAAAAAAATATATAAAAAAGTTTATTATCTGTGTTACAACCAAATTACTGGACCCAGACGTGAGAGACATTTACAGTTGTCATAATTCATTTTTACCCTAAATTTTTTTGGTGGATGCAGCATTTCAGAAATGCAACATAAAAGATGAAGCAAGGGTGTAATATAATAATAGCTACCGCTTTCCAACATTCTCATAGGATAGAGTGCCATATTATATAATTTTGATGATACCAATAGTGTAGCCGAACTATGAGGATAGCGCCCAAACATCCAGAGAGAGAAGAGAAGTTTAGTTGGACATTCTAAATATCTCTCAACTCTGAAGAAGGTGAGAAACAGGGTTACAAATCCAAAGCATTACCGGCATGTTTTTACGTTTTCTTTTCTATGGGATTGATATGCATCAGTGTTTTACCAATAATTAATGGCATATCTTGCATTGCTGTTCTTGCCTCTATTTTTTTATGTTAAAGAGTTACTCGCAGAGAAGTTCAGATAATAATTTATTGTATTCCATTTTTAGCCGTGCAGAGTTTATTAGAGGAACGAAATCATTTCAAATTAAATGCAACCGAACCTTGAAAGAAAAAAAAAATAAGTGGTTTCTCGTTGTTTAAGGCTTCGTTTGGGGCGGCTTTATTAGTAGCTGATGTAGGATCCTGCATAAATGACTCAAAAACAAGAATAAGAAGAAGAAGGAGATAGTAAAAACTATAATCGGATTATAACTTCAAAAACTGAGCAGGTCCTCCCCTGTTTCACCTACAAATACTATCTCCTACAAAACGATCCTATACTCAAAATAGCAACTGGAAATGAAAAGCAGCAAATAACAGAGAATATTCTAACTAACTAACAAGTGCTTGATAAAATGTTCCTCCAGCACCATGTATAAAGATGCTCCGCATCACTCGCCCCTTCCACAAAGAGAAACGGTGTGAGGGTCTTCCATGATAATGTGGCTATCATCAGGTGGAAAGTATGGATAGAGGTTCGCCACGTTGAACGTATTTGGAGTATTGAACTCAGCGGGCAATTCAACAATGTATGCATTTTCATTGATACATTTGAGGACTGGGAAGGGCCCGAACTTCCGTTTGCCGAGCTTAGTGTAGGTCCCCGCTGGTAGCCGTTCCTTCTTCATTCGGACTATGACCAACTCTCCTGGCTGGAATGTTTTCTTCCTCCGATGAGGATCCGCGTCCGCCTTATATTTAGCATTGGAATCCAGTAGTTTTTGACGGACTATTGAAATCATTTCGGAAAACTGATCTATCCATGCCGAGGCCGCTTGACTTTTACACTTGGGAAGTACTGCAACATCAACAGTAGAGTTGGGCATTTTAGTATACACAATACTAAATGGGCACATACCGGTGGAACGATTAGGCATAGAGTTGAATGCGAATTCGCCACTTCCGTCTGGCCGTCGGTTTGAGGATGATACGGTGAGCTGAGTTGAAGTTTAGTGCTCAATCGTTTCCACAACTCCCGCCAAAAATGGCTGATGAACTTCACGTCTCGGTCGGACGTTAAGCTACGCGGCACACCATGAAGCCTGATGATTTCCCTGAAGAAGAGTTTGGCCACATTCAACGCATCGAAGGTCTTCTTGCAGGCTATAAAATGCGTCATTTTAGAAAACCTGTCCACCACCACCATGATCTAGTCATTTCCCTTCTTGGTGCGAGGTAAGCCTAGTACAAAATCTAGACTTAGATCCTCCCAAATGGATTCCGGTACTGGCAGAGGTTGGTACAATCCAGTATTCTGTCCACCACCTTTATAGTTTTGACACACCGAACATCTTTCCACGAATTTGGTAACATCTTTCCTTAAATGAGGCCAAAAAAATTTGCTCATCATTTGAGCAATGGTTTTATCCCGTCCCGCATGGGCGGATAACCCGCCGCCATGGATCTCCTGGATGAGGTGCTGCCTCCAGGAAGATTTAGGTATGCACAATAAATTCCCTTTAAAGAGGAATCCGTGACGTATAGAATAATCTTCTTCCGTCTCTTTGTTTGTGCATTTCTGCCAGATGCCAGCAAAATCATCATCCCCTGCATATAAATCCTGTAAACATTCCAGTCCCACAAATTCCGCCTTGAGCTGGGTTATAAGCAAAGATCGACAACTCAAAGCGTCTGTAACCCGATTTTGTGCACCACTCTTGTGTTTCAAAACAAAGGTGAACTTTTGCAGGAATAAAATCCACCTCGTGTGCATTCTATTGATGTTCTTCTGAATGTTGATGTACTGTAATGCCTTGTGATCACTGCACAGATCAAAATCCTGATGCAACAGATAGTGCTCCCACTGTTTCAATGCTCGAATAACTGCATACAGTTCCTGCTCATACACGGACCAACGCTGCTAAGACAGACAAAGTTTCTCACTGAAAAATTCAATTGGTCAGTTCTCCTGGGTCAATATTGCTCAAATTCCCATGGTTGAGGCGCCAGTCTCCACAACAAAGGGCTTATCAAAGTCGGGCAATGCCAGTACAGGTGCGGATGATAGAGCTTCTTTGATTATGGCAAAGCTGCGCTGTTGTTCTTCCCCCCACGTGAAGTTCTTTTGTTTCAATACATCTGTAATTGGAGACAGTATGAGGCTAAATCCTTTAATGAACCTTCTGTAGAAGTTCGCCAGTCCATGGAAACTCGGTATATCAGTAAAAGACTTTGGATCCGGCCACTCCACAATTGCCGCTACCTTCCGTGGATCGGCACTAATGCCAGCTGCCGAGATCTTGAACCCCAGGAATGCAACCACACTGCAGGCAAATTCACATTTGGAAATATTTAAATAAAGTTTCTTCTGCCTCAGTGTTTCGAAAATACCTTTCAGGTGTTCCAAATGTTCATCCAAATTCTTGCTAAATATTAAGATGTCATCGAAGTAGGCTACGCAACACCGATTCAAAAAAGGTTTCAAAACCTCATTCATTAACCTCATGAAGGTTGAGGGTGCATTACATAATCCAAACATCATAACTCGCCATTCGTACGGTCCTTCATGAGTCTTAAAAGCTTTTTTCCATTCGTCTCCGGGACGAATTCGAATCTGGTGATACCCGCTGCGAAAGTCCAATTTGGAGAATACCTGTGATCCAACCAGCTTCTCCATCATTTCATCCAACCTTGGCATTGGAAATCTGAACTTGACCGTGATCTTATTGATTGTCCGGCTATCAATACACATTTGCCAGCTCCCATCCTTTTTAGGAACCAGAAGAGCGGGGACTGCGCACGGACTCAAGCTGTGCTGTATGAGTTGTTTTTGAAGCAAGTCATCCACTATCTGCTGTAATACCCTATGTTCTGTGGGACTCATTTTGTAATGCTGAATGTTAGGTAGAGTGGCACCTGGATGAAAATCAACTTGGTGTTGTATTGACGTGAGTGGTGGCAGTTCGGCAGGCAAGTCCTTAGGACAAACATCGGAAAGCTGCTGTAGTAATTGGTCCACCTCCCGTGGTAGCTCGGTTCTATCCACCGTAACTGTTTGTTCTTTGACAATAAGGGCCATAATATGGGAAGACTCCTTCCAGGCGTTTAGTAAAGCATTTCCTGGCACCACAAACATAGCAGCTTTGTCTGCCGGCTGGGTAGACTCCTTAGTTGATGGCTCCGGTAACAGACGGAGTTTCTTTCCCTTCCAATCGTATAGGTATTTGCTCTGCCATCGTATATCGATCCCACGTCAAATTGCCATGGACGCCCCAATATGACATGGCAAACATCCATATCTAGCACATCACAAAGGACCTCGCTGGCATAGTGTTTTCCGATGGAGAACGACACTCTACACATGTCCGTAACTGTCATTTCTACCCCCTTCTTTACCCAACTAATCTTATACGGATTGGAACTTTTAGTTGTTTTGAGCTGGAGTGCTTGCACTACAGTCCTTGATATCACGTTTTCAGTGCACCCACTATCGATCAAGAGGTTACACACCTTCCCGCTTTTTGAAGAGGGCATTTCTCTGAGAATTACTCGGTTGTCTAGGAGCTAGCAGGAGTCTTTGTAGCACGAACATAAGTGGCTCGTCTTCATCTCCTGCCACTTCTTCGATTGGATTGTCCTGTCTGTCTTCCACACCTTCCTCATCATCCTCATTCTCACCTTCCAATAGCTGAAGTTGGCCTCTAGAGGGACATTCATTGGACTTATGTCCTGGTTGGAAGCACCTAAAGCACTTAATGGTGGACGGTTTCACATAAGAGTTGTCTTTGGCCGGTCCCTTGAACCTTTGGTTTCCTCTTATCTCCTCCACTTTGTTGTGTGCCAAGGGTGGTGACGGGTTCACCTGATTAGTGGCTGGGGGCTTACTGAAAATGGCGGGTTTCATACTGCTCATCAGATTAGAGAGTCTGTCGTTGATTCTACAGCTCTCCTGCCATAACTGCTCTTATTTTGCCTGGTTAACTGCATTTCAATTTTCATTGCATAATTTACTGCTTGTGAGAGTGACCACACTGTATTCAAATTGAGCTTGTCATGTATTGCATCCTTGAGCCCTCCAACATAACGGGCTACCAACTGATTTTCTGACTCATTCAAATTGTTTATGGCGCTCAGCCTATAAAATTCCTCGGTGTAGTCATTGATGGAACGATTGCCTTGGATGCAATGCTGGTACTGCATGTAGAGCATATGTTCGTAGTCTGTAGGTAGAAAATGGCCTTTGAGCAACTGTTTCATCCGGAACCAACTGCGCACCGGTCCCCTTCCTTCACGTCGCCGTGACTGTAGTAACTGCAGCCACCATGCACCAGCTCCTCCTTTTAGCCTACAAGCCACGTACTTAACCTGCCTCTCTGGCTCTATCTCCATATACTCGAAGAACGTCTCCACCGATCGTTCCCAGTCTAAGTAATCCTCAATGTGTAGTTTACCGTCAAAGAAAGGAATATCCAATTTGACTCTGAACTCGCCATTCGAACGATCTTGCTCCCTTGGTCTCCTCCGGCGGTGTACCGTCATTTCCCCCTCAGACTCTGATAAATCCAGAGCTCCGAATTGCTCCAGGCCTTTAGCTGAATCGGAAGCAAACGCCTCTGGTAATTGATGCCGTGGCATTCTTCTTGCCCAGCCCCGTCTGTGAGTCGCAGGTATGGTTGCCGGCAAACCCACTATTGGTTCAAGATTTCGCTCTAAAAGAGCACGGATATCTCTCA